GCCTTGATATAAGTATATAAACTGAAACAGTGCATCCTAAATTTAACATAAATTAATTATTTTAATACAACAGTCATTTCTGCAGTTTTTGGGTCACCTCCTAATAAATGTCATTAGAAAATCTAACAGCTCATTTTAAATCAGTGCTTTTACTAAAGTAATATTAGAGTAATATTCCTGAAGGAGACTTCATCTTTTACTAAAGTCATTTTTTGTAAGATACTTGTACTTTTACTCAAGTATCACTTTATTATACTTTATACAACACTGTTATTATAGACATTGTATTTCTCTTGTTACTGTTATTTCAGGATGTTTTAAATATTTGCAGAGATTCACTTTTGTCGCATACTTTCCAATATAGATATTCAAACATGAATTATTTGTATTGTTTTATTTAATAGTTTTGAAGTTAGTGTCAGATGTTTGGATGCTGTGTGAAGTTTATGCTTCAGCCATGTGCAGCTATTCACAGATGGTGCAGCAGAAGCCTGCTTTTTTTCTTTTTTAACCCTCGATCTGTAATTTCCCTCCTCCTTTCATTCTTGTCTATTGATGTGATAATGGCTACAAAYTGATAAAGCCTTTGAGTGTGCTGGTGACATAAGGGCGAGCCGTGACACAAACTCTCCGCCACCCAGCAGCTCTCATTAATCAGATCTCATCCAACCCCCTGTCCCTCCCTCCAGACTTCCTGACACACTGCCAGAAGCACAAGCCTGCCCAGTCTGTCCCACTCTGTGATCAGTTACACACAGCAAACATAATCCAGTATGAAAGTATTTGTTATAAACCTAAAACAATCTGAGCAAGATGCTGGATGTACTTTTATCAGCAYGTTAGAGCTCATAGTGTGACAGGGATCAAAGAAAAACCCAAATCATGAAAGTAAAGGATTTCAAACAGACTTTATCTTTCATTAAACCCAAATTGTTTGCTTTTCAGAACTGCATTGATTTAATTTAAATGGCAAAATGTGGAACACAAAATACAATTGATTAGTTGAACTCTTTGTTTAAAAGTTAAACGCAGTGAGCTCTGAATCCAATACTTTTATCAGAAACTAAATGTTTTTTTAATTAAGTGCAACCTTCTTGACTTTTACTAAAATGTGGCCTTTTTAGTAAATCTCAGCCACTTCAAACCTGATCGTTTTTAAGGTTTTATTTATTTTCTTTTAATTAAATTAGCAATGGAGACAGTCCTTGCTGGTATGTTTTTATTACAAAATTTTGCACAAGGAGTTATAAGATTTTGTAATGATGTGTTTAACTTGTTTGTCAGCAATCTGATTTAAAAAAAACTCAGCTCGTGTCAACTGTTGTAGTTTAAAATCTTTAATAAATTGATAATCTGAGGGTAATTATTGTTGGTAATAAGAGTTGGATTTGACTGGCCTCTAGTGTACATGGTAAATCGTTACAACGCCGTCCGTGTGTGTGGTGTGTGTGTGTGTGTCTGTGTAGGGGTGGGGGGACACAGCTTATTTAACACAAGTCTCAAAAGTCTGAAGATAATCACCTGAATTTTCAAGTTCTTATTATTGCAAGAGGAAAATCAACCAGAAACTTCTGCGATGAAGAGTAAAAGTTTATCTAAATGCTAAAATGTTTTTTTTTTTTGGTAATGTCACTCAGTCAAAAATAAKAATGCATGTAAAATTAGCAGATTAAAGAAAACAAACAGGTTTTTACTGTTATACGACTCCATCAGAGTTCTGCATACTTGTGCTCATCAGTTTGATTGTTTTATTTTACATTTTGTCTTTCACACTCTCTAAGAAAGCGTAAAAGATTAAGTGTTAAAGACTCAAGTCACACTGAGCTCCAACAGCTGACGGTTCAATTAGTTGACATTTTTCCAATTAGAGTACAACTCAGATGGCTGTCGTTTCTATTTTTACCTGATCAATAAACAGAATAATTGAGTTTAAAGTAGACACATCATGCTTTGAAATCCTTCCTTTTCACATTTATATTATTCAGTTGCGGCCTTCATAAAGTGAAACTACAATGCTTTGGTTTCAATTTCTCATTATTTAAACTTTACCAGCTCCTTTCACCACTTTTCTGATGTGTCTCAAAGCTGCTGGATTAGATACTATTCCTTAAAGATGCTTGAAGCCCCGCCCCCCTCCAGCTTCCAGACCGGCCCACTCCTGTTTGAGAGAGAGGCTTACGTTTTCAGCGAAACAATTAAATTGAAAGATGTCAAACAGAAGTCTTGTCCATCCAGCCTTACATGTTGGAGCCCAGAGACCACAAAGTGATACTTGAGTAAAAGTACAAGTATCTTACCATAAAATTACTTTGGTAAAAGTTAAAGTCTCCTCTAAGTATATTATTTCAGTAAAAGTCTTAAAGTATCTGATATTTTTTGTACTTAAGCATCAAAAGTAAATTTCTGACATAAAATGTACTTAAGTATTAGAAGTAAAAATGAGTGGTTAGATTTTGCAAAATGATATTTATTGGGAGGTGGCCTCCCCCAAAAAATGTTTTTCTAAATGACTATTAAAATATTAATACCAAAAWAATTAGGATGCACTGATGTAGCTGTTTCAGGTATATACTGTATATATTTTTATGTATATACCACATACATCTTCAGGCTGCATGGGTCTGATCTGTCCTGCTGGAGTGTGACATATGTATCATGCAGCTGTGATGGATTGTGTACAAACTAATACAGTGTTAAAATGTTATATCTATGTCTCATTCAACCACAATTACATTCACTCTATCCAGGAGGCACAGTTTATCTTTACAGTATTTCTTTTAATAACAATATGAATTAAAACAAGCAAAAATGAACTGAAAGTAACGACTTTTCTTTTYCCCCCTTTTTTAAAAATTGTGTGGAGTTAAAAGTACAGATCATTGTGTGAAAATGTAAGACGTCAATAGTAGGCTGAAAAATAATTACTCAAGTACAGATACCTAAAATTTCTACTTAAGTACAGTAAAGAAGTATTTGTACTTAGTTACTTTACAACTCTGTTGGAGCCACAGTCTGACCCAGAACCAGAGGAGTACCAAGACGAGATTGTAGCTAAGTCCAGACCTTATATGGTAATTCAACATAATCTCAGAAAATTATATTATTTAACAGCTAAAAGTGGGTTTTTCTTGCCTCCTTTAAAAGCATATTTTTTGGTGTAGTRTCATTGACAATCCAGAAGATGTCACCAGAGAGTCACCAGTACATCAACGGTTTGTGCATAACTTTTGTTCATAATTGGAATGTATAATYAATTTACCTGCCAGCTGAATGATGTTAAAGAAATGTCTCACCAATCTTATTTTAACCATTATAGAAAAAAAACTGATATTTGTTAAACCAGTTACACACCACACATTATCCCAGACTGATTTTGGATGCTCCAATAAAACCAGCAGCTTATCCAGAGCACTGCTTCTCCACACACATTGGTTTGATTCAGTTCTGCATGAGTGTTTGCAATTTCTCTGCAGGCCCTCCATGAGATGTGACTTGTGCATTGTCTAATTCCTTTGTGGTTCCTCAGAGTTGAAGGAAAAAAAAAACGCCACCGGGAGGCCTGGAACTCCGCCTTCCTTTCCCAGCCTGCAGAGTGGTGGGAACCGGGTACTGGGCAGCCCAAAACGGTTTGCTATTTTTACCACTCCATTCAATCAGAGGGCTGGTCCCCGGAGACCTGTTGCCAGCAGCTCTCCCAAAGCCGCGGAATTTAACCCCAAGACAGCTCCCCTCCAGATGTGATGGAAAACATCTGGCCAACTGCTYGACTAAAAGGCTTCGCTGTCCAGCCCCAATAGACTCCAAACACCCGGTTGATGCAGATAAATGTAAATCAGGTCTGTGATTTAACAGTGTGATGTGGAATTCACAACACTGAACAGGGTCCTCCACGCACAAACGGCTCATAAAACAATTTAAGTTCACAAAAGGAGCCACTAAAGTCTAGGAAAACATTTATTGAATTTATTTAATTTAAAAAGTATACTTGTAAATGTTACAATGAGTTCTAGGAAAACATGTTCCATCTTTTAAACACAGGTCAACATTAGGCACAAGACTGCAGAGGTCATCCCGCAGAGCTACCCACACTTCAAATACAAAAAACAGGGAAGAGCGAGCAGGGAAGATGTCACCAAAAAACACAAATTAACTGCTTCGAAACAGAACAGAATTGTCATCCAGCATCATCACTCCCAGGCGTGAAAACCAGTTTCCCTGTGTCGTTTGTTACATAAAAATATATTTAACTTACACACCAAGAGACCCCTGATTGCAAACATCGACTCTACCACATTTGGTTTAGTTAACCCATCACACACTCACCAAAAGTACAAAAATCTTTACCTGGACATCTAAACATTATTCTAATCATGCATGAAAATACAGCTTTTTTTTGATACTCAGATTTGACTTGTGACGACAACCGATTAGCTGAAACGTGTGAATTTCTGATAGATCAACGCTATAGAATCGTGCAATTATTTGTCTTTTTCCCTTAGGTCAGAGCGGGTCAAGCAGTACAACAATTTGAGCTGCAGTGGCAAAAATAACATGAAAATCAGGAAAGTGAAACAACTCTTGGTCAACGTCATGGCTACAACTTACAGAGCTTATGTACAGCTTGTGGCACTGGAAGYGTAACCGCTGTGGTTCGCAACCATTTCGCCAGAAAAATAAGATAATATTGCACACAAAATATCTCTTCCAAGGGTTTGGCTTTTGGGGAAGAAAATGCTAGAACTTGAATCAAAAATATGGTCACCACATTGATTCATCTGTAGTCTTTGTCCGCATCTTGAACTGGAACACAATGGAATTTAATGATGCGAGTTTAGTTTATGTTTGCTGCGTAGATTAAAAGATGTTTAGAGGAAAAAAGGATCATGTGTAGTGCAATCAAAAACAAACCAACACCGCCTCCAGGTTATTAAACTCCCTGTTTTAGAAGAGCTAATTTTTGGCATTTGTTTAAAGCAGTATATAAAAAGAATGATGGCCTATATTGTATGTCGTGTAGACCCGTTTATTGGCACATAGGAATGGATATAAAATATTTAATCTATGAAATTATGTTTGACTTTAGCTTTTATACAACTGCCCCCTGTGCTTTTAATTCAAGAGAAAAATCAGGAAAAAAATAACTACAATCAGTTCAGTTGTCAGATCATCCTCCATTTGTCGCAGAGGCAAAAACCAAGTTCAGCATTCAAGTTTGTCAGAGAACTAAATATGACAGGCTAAGCCCAAATCCTGTCACAACTCATCTCAAATTTTAAGCCTCCTCRCTGCAGCCAGCTGCTTAAAAGCAGATGAGTTTAGACCTTTTGAGTCTCCTGAAGAAGTTCTGACATTTTCTAAGAAAACTAATTTACTAAACAGGCAGAACAATCAGTGACACCACCACTGGCGTACAAGAGTCTTGTGCACCAGCTCTTTACACCAAATTTCTATGGCACGCAACCCACACAGGGGGGCTTTCTTTGCCAAAAAAAGGTGGCCTATTTTCTCAGCTATAGTGGCGTCATAATAAATCTCATAAGAAGCCAGATAACTGCATGGTTGGCACCGACGTGGTGAATTTTGAGTCCAGAGTGTCGAAGGTCAGTGTTCAAGCTCGCCTGCAGCCTGAGGAGGTGTGAACACCAGCGGGAGCAGAGAGCACAGCGACAGCATTAGGGCGACGTGGGAACCGACACCTCCAGCAGGCGGTTGTTTTTGCGTTTGCAGGAGGCACTGTTGCCGTTCTTCGGGCTGCCCTGGATGAACTTCACACACACTTTGTCATGCTTGAACTGCAGCAGAAACCTGCAACACAGAAGACATTGTCGAAACACGTATTTTAAAAGGAAGATGAATTATTTTATTAAAATTTAAATCTTACTCGTCTGATATGTCAATGTTGATTGGTTCTCTATCTGCAGCCAAGGCGCTGAGGCAGTAGACTTTGGTGATTATTTCAATCAGATGATCACTGCTGAGCAAGAAGTCACCTTTAACAGCTGAAGCTGACCCCTGTTGAAGAAAATTAAATAATTTCTATAATCCAAGTATCGTATTTATTCATGTATAATACGCCCCCCCCCTTTTTTTTTAGCTTAAAAAGCATAAAAAATGTAATCTTCAAACTACCTCCAATTTCATACAAACTTCAAGATTTTTTAGCCTTTGCAGTCTTTATACMTATCAGTAAAATGATCATTGGACTGTTCATTTTATTTTAACAACGTATGTACTAAAAGGTATTTTGACAACAAATACATATCAGCTGTAGCAGCAACATATGAATTCTGGCATTTTACACATAGTCCACCAGGAGGCGCCAACACAAAAGTCAGAGACTTCACATGAGATTTGGACCATCTTGTGGAGGAAAAGCAGATTACTTCCTACTCGCGAGCGCCCCCTCTGGTGGGGAAACGTTTTTTCAGGGATACAAACTTTCAGAACACCGGTAGACGGCAGCCATTACAGACGAACATGTGTTTGTTGTTGTTCCAGGAGCGGATCGGTCACACGCTAATGTCATTAGTTCGTTATCATTACTAAAGTGAAGGACTGCTTTTCCCCCTTTTTTTCACATCATGTCTCCTGCCTGGAATGTCAGAGGTAAGTTTGTTTCAACTGCTTTTCACGATGTGGTCTCATTTCCGGACTCAGACATTTTGTGAATGAAGCCGATATTTCAGTTAAAATACATTAGTAAAAATATTTATCCGAGTATAGTACTAACCCCCCAACTTTATGGATGATTTTATGGATTTAATTTTGCGTATTATACTTGAATACGGTATATTTTAAATGTTAGAACACCTATGAGACATGATACCCCATCATAAAAATGCAAAGACAAAATGTTTAGATTTTTATATTCAATTAAGATGAGATTAAAATTTCTCTACATCAGATCTTTGTCTAAAACCTTGGTATTACAGGAACAGTAKGCTATACGTTTAATTTGCCATTGTGTTTGAAAAGATGCCTACTCCTTTAATGTCATCTTTAACTGCCCCACCAAAGAACTGAATTGTAACTCCACTTGTATTCTCACCTCTCTAAGTTGGAGAGCAAAGAAGCCATCCGTCTGCGTGCTGGCTGAAACATTGGCAAGGTCTGCCAGAGGGACGCTGGCCTTCACTTGCCCAGTTTTCTGGTCAGCCAAAATGACACTCTTCTTAGTTAGTAGGAGTATTCGAGCTGAACCCTGCAAAGCCAAAAATGAACAGAGTCAAAGGTTGGGGAAACTTGACAATGTAAAATTATAAGAAGCCAAAGGTTTCTTTCAAATGCATTTTGAGTTATAACGTGAAACAAGTAGAAAAGATGAAACAGATTTGTAAAAGTCTGATACATATCAGAAAAAAACTGCATCCAAACGCAAAACATACCAGATTGTTTAGCTGACTGAAATATGCAGCGTTGTCAACAAATGTGCATAAACTTTGAAAAATGGGACTGTTTCTACACGCCCTAGATTAAACGATGTTAAAAAGATGCAATATATAAGCTTTAATAATGTTTATTGTTTTATTATTTTCTCTTTTCTTTTGCATGCCCTAAAACTTAAGCTATTATTTTACATCACATAAAACCAACAGCAATTTCTCTTACCTTTCCATTGGCCCTGTTGATTTTGCTGACCACATCAGCCAGCAGAACCTTCTCGTCTACAGCAGTGCTGAGTTTTTGGTATTTAGGGTTTTTGTTGACCTCCAGGTAGTCTCCTTTGAAAGGCTGACTCACACTGAGGCAGAGGATAAAGACGTCACATTGAAAACAATGTTTTGAACCTCTGTCTTTTAGAACAGCATTTATACATTTTAGGTCACTTCATCTAAAAGAAAAAAATAAAGAACTTTTAATCCAAAATACCTGCTTGGATAGAGCGCCTTTTTATTCCTGAACAGCTCGCTTGCCTTCAGCTTCTCTTCATACACTGCCTTCTTGTCCTCCGTGAATTGGCTCCTGTATTTCTTGCACTATTCACATCACAAATCAAAATTAAAAACTACCCACAGAAAATAGTGTAATTCTCTAGAAAATACATCCTGCCATTTGTTTTTATTTCCCCTTCCAGTCTTCTGATACTCCGCTTTCCATGACTTATACTAAATGTGTGACAAGATTATATATTTTTAAGACTTGACAAGTCCAAAATGCTGTCTGCATCCTGCTTCACATCGGTCCAACACAGTGTGCATTAGACTATATTCACATTGACAGTTTAAAAGAGGAAAGAAAAGCTGGCTGAATGTGATGGACGAACCCTCCAGAGATGGAAAATCCTCTTGAGCTCGGTGTGGACTCCCTCCAGGAACAAGTAAGGCCGAGCAGGCCAGCTCTTGTCTATGGGGGACATGGAGGGCATGTCGCGCTTCAGGTCAAGGAAGTATTTTTGCATCTGGAAGAACACGAAGACATTGATTTCTTTAGAGGGCAAGAGTAAAACAAAATCCAAATGTTGCCAAAGTACTCAAAGAAAACTTAAATTTATAAAACTAAAAAGTTTGCACACTTTTTCCTCTCTTATATTGATTATTAGTGTCCCACAATTTAAAAAAAATGGCAGCCACATTTATGAGTATATGTCAACTGTAGGTTTGTTTACCTATAGATAGCACCAAAGTGACTGAAAATAGATTAACAAAGGTGGATGAGCTGTAAGGATTTTAATGTTGGAATGTGTTTATATTTGTTTAGCTGTKAGATGTCAATGAKAAGTCTTAAGAGATCAACATATGACTCATGTCTGTTAAGAATGTTCATGGGTTGACTGGGTTATTTTAGTGCTTTAGTAAAAGCTTTTGCTAAATTTTTCTGTGCGTTAGTGCTTTAGAATTAGGGGACCTAAATATTTTAGTTAGTGCTTTAGRGTTAGTGGAACTAATTTTTAGATTACTGCTGCCCACCACTGATGAAACCAGCTTTCCCTTTTGTTGAAAAGGGAAAGCTGGTATAATTTGAAGGGACTACAAATGTTTGTTAAACCAAAAATCCTAACAAATTTGAAGGACAGATGCAATTCAGTGAAAGGTATAAGACTATGGAATAAACTGGAAAATTATTATAAAAGCATTGGATCAATTAATTCCTTCAGAAAAAAAATAATCAAAGTGAAATTGTTCAGAAATATTACATTGTTTAATTTGTATGAGTTACTGTTTGAGTTAAAAAAATTTTTATTTGTTTTATTGTTTGAAATTATTATTTTTGTAAATAGGAGCAGATATGTTTTCTTCTGCTGCTTTTCATTTTATTTGATTTGCATTGTTTTGTTGTATGTAATGTGTTAGTTTTTTTAAACTGAAATGAATAAACTAAAATACTCTTTCAAACTAAAAAAAGACTAAATTTGTCCCACACCCATAATTCGCAACTACTACTTCCAAAATCCTACTTACAATCCTCTGGATGGTGAAGTTGTAGATCTTCTTGCCTGCGTTTGCCCTGAAGAACTTCCTGTAGTCTCTGCGGACCTGTTTGAGCACAAGCAGAAAAAGAAAAAGATCATTTCTACATCTTGGATTAGCATGATACAGAGTGGGACAGTAGAGAAGCACGGTGAAAGAGGGGGAACACAAACTGCACACTTAAATAACAGCCATTGTGTTAGTCAGACACAGACAGACACGAACTGGAACAAAATGTGAAATCCATCTGCTGGAATTACAACCGCTTCAAATTAATTACTGAAAAGGTGATAATGGTTATGACCAACAACCTTCGTGCTGCCCTTCACAATACATTTGTAAACAGGTGCATCGTCAGGCACACCGTGGTCAATTATCATGAAAAGGATTAACACTGAAATGACCACGTGAGTGGTTTTACATCTAAAACCAAACAAACAAATACATTTATATATAAAAAAAATGGACGCACACCTACAGTGAAAAACAAAAAGCAGAAAAAATAATGTGGGTTACACAAACATGGGTTAGTTTAAAAGAAAGAAGCAGCAGCAGGCGTTAAGGACAGATGAAACAGCCTTGGCTAAGTCAGTTGCATAGAAAAAAATACATTACACAGTCTTAACTCTAAAATAAACTCTTGTAACTTTAAAAGTTAAAGTTTAACCTACACAAAGTGATAAGGGGGATCATAAACTTATGGAATGTTAGAAACCAATAAATTCAAACTTGAGGTGCAATTTTAAGGTTCATGTTTTTGTTTTAGAAATAAAATCAGTACCTGAAAACTGTTTAAAATAATTAATTCAAATTAAACRATCACTTTGAAAAGAAAATGAGTGAAAGGTCAAAGATTAAATTGTGGTCAAACACTTCAGGGTCACGCTCCGCTTTTGTGTCGTTCAAAAAGCTTATCCTGAATCGCAATAAATGATTGAATGAAAAAAATTTGACAAGTTTTTAAAAATTAACAGTATCAATCAGTTCTATCAACATTTAGAAAAGCAGTATGAATATGTTATTGTATTAAACAGAAAAACAGACCAGTTCCTTGTTTATGAACAGTTTGATCTTTGTTTGGAAATTAAAATCATTTGTAAATCAATGTCAGGAAAAGGTGGTCTGATTAGTGAACAGGGACTGCCTTTCAGAAGAGTTCAGTAACAATAGCTGAGGAGGATAAAGAGGATCAGTGGTGAGGAGCAGGTGGCATGATGATGATGATGATGGTGGTGGTGGTGGTGGCTACGCTGTGGGGCTGGTGGGTACCTTGAGTCCCTGCCAGTAGGCCCAAATCACAGCGACAGCATGCTTACGCCGGGCCTCCTCCTTCAATCTCCTGAGCTCCCTGCGGGCCTGTTTGAGGGGTGAGCAGGAAGAWAGAGCGGGAACAAATGAAGCAGAGGAAGATGAGGGGGGGGAAAAGAGGCGGCAAACACTGTTCTGTCTGAGGTCAGCTGTGTACACACACACACACACACACACACACACACACACACAC